TCCTCCTCCATTTCTTGCACAATTTTATCAGCTTCCTCTCGCTTGGCAAGTGGTAGCCTTCTTGCCGACTGTCGAATGGGCTGTGCATCACCGGTGTTAATTTTATGCTGGACAATTCTTGTCCTACCCTTCTTTTCATGTCCGTCGTCAAAGACATCCTGATAATTGTGTATCAACAATCTCAGCTTTATCCTTTCATTGGGTTTCAAATCCTTTGAAGAAGTCGACAGAAGATTCGTCAATTCATTGCTCACTTTCTTGGCCGGGACTGCAGACACACGAATGCCTCTAATAATCGAGGAAACCGAAGAACAGTTTCCCAAAACGGTTCCTTTCTTCAAGTTCACAGAGTAACCATTAACATTCAATACTCTTACAGGCACTTCTTTTCCGACACGTATTAAAGTCTTCCCTACTACAATTCCTCGACCGACCTCTTTGTCATCAATTCTCGGCTCCAGAAGCATTATACTTCCATCGTCTGATTTACAATCCAAGAAAGCCTTCAATATCATCTCGATGTGTTCCGGTATCAAAGCATCTTCTATTAGCATTACACGAATATTCTTCTCTTTTGATCGATGCAACACGACTTCCTCTCCATTAACCCTCAATATTCCTTGTTTAAAGTTTAGTTCAAATCCTATAGAGTTCATAATGTCCATGCCTACAATAACTTCATCTTCAATATCTGCAACTAATGCTCGATGTTTAAATTTCGTGTTTCCTATGACCATCGTGATGTCCACTTCTCCACGAACAGTAGCGGTTTCTCCTGTTGCAGTACGTAGTCGCCGAGTGGTAGATTTGATCTTAGACATTTCGACAATATCTGGCCTAATAATTGTCTTCGTCGCACCTGTATCCAGCAGCTGCACATGTAATTTTCCATTAATTAAACCATCCACAAAAACACTGCTGAACTGGTGTAGAAGAGATGCAACACGTTCGGTAGATTTTCTTTAAAAACTCGCCTAATTGCTTCAATTATACTGGGTTCCTCCTCTTTCTCTTCATCGACTCTCCTTATTCTAGGCTGGCTCCTGCAGCTCTGCTTTGCCGCCTCGAATTCCAAAGCTCGAGCCAATGCATCAACCAGTTGGCTCGGACGAGCCAACGTCAGAGCCTGTCTTGTTTCGTTGTCCCGAAGTCCATCCAAAAAGGCTTGAACCGCTAATCGTTCCATAACGGTCGTTGGAGTAGCTGGATATGCTAGCCGAACCAAGCGTGCAATATCAGCCTCGAATTCTTGCAAGGTCTCGTTTGATTTCTGGCAGCGGTTCTTAAGTTGGGAATGGTAGACATGTTCCAAATGTGTCTGGCCATATCGCAGTTCCAGATGTTTCACCAAGGCTTCGTAATCTTCTTGTTCGTTTGGAGAAAGTGTCTGCAAGATGTCCGTTCCATCTCCGCGTAAAGCATGAGTTAATGTTGTAGCTTTTTCTTCCGGTAGCCAGCCATTTGCTTTTGCTGCTGCCTCAAACTGACGGATGTAGTTGGTCCAAGAAGTTTTTCCATCGAAATGAGGTGGTTTCATCCTAACTCGGCTCCCCTCCGGCACTGCTCCTTGTTTCGCCAGCATCATAGGTAGATTTACAGCTGTCAGTTTACTATTTATTTCTTTAATTTTGACTTCCAATTTATCATCCAATTCCATCCTTACGTCATTTAATTCCATCCTTACGTTATTTAATTCCATCCTTACATCGTCAACTTTCTGTCCTACTTTTTCTTCTAATTCTACCCTTACGTTCTCTTTTAATTCATTTACATTATCTAGAATCTTCTGTTCCAAATACTCTTTTAAATATTTAGATTTTTCCAGAATGTTCTGCTGCAGTTCGCTAGAATTTTCCAGCATTTTCTGTTGTAACTCGTTAGAATTTTTTAGCATTTTCTGTTGCAGATCGTCCTTTAAATCGTTGGCATTTTCCAGAATTTTCTGTTGTACATGGCTAGAATTTTCCAACATTTTCTGTTGCAACTCGTTGGAATTTTCCAGAATCTTTTGTTGTAAATTTTGCAACATTAAATGCATGTCACAAGGGCCTTCAAATAAATACTCATCTGGATTTTCACCCTCTTGTTCCAATGCTTCTCGAAGCCGCTGTTGCAACACATTCTTTTTCCCAGTTGTATCACACTCCCTTTCTTCTAGCTCTCGTTTAAGGTCCGCCACTAGTCCATTAACGAAACCATTTTCGCGAAGTTTCACACTAACCGCACTCCTGACACCAATTGTAACGTTTTTAACTGTTCGTAGTGTGAATAAAAACACGCACTGGTTAATTAACGAACTAAACTATTTATTTAATAACTTAACTACACTTAAAACACTATAAAACTATAAAACTAACTAAACACTTAACTACTAATTATTTATATATCACTACTAATTTATTTATTTGCACTTATATTTATTTATTTCTTCGCGAGTACCAAAGCTAAACTGACTGCTCTGTGATGCGTCGTTCCTTATATATTCAGCGCCTATGTCTTCTGGAACATTCCAGCGAGCTCCACACTCTCGATTATTCGAGCGCTGAGTCACCGGCGATGACTCATCGGCGATGAGTCATCATTCCGAGAGCCTCGCTACACCTGTATTAAAAATGATGAAACGCCACCACATAGAACAACTTTGAAGAAAGAGATGGTCTAACATTAAACTGGGACAAGTACTTTGATAAACTTTGCCATGATAACATCAAAGAAAAAGGAATAAAAGCGCAAGTAAAGAATGTGAAGGATACCCCCAAATTACCAGAAAGTGAGTATATTACCATATACCTTTAGTTAATCGTCACTAATAATTATTTTTAATACCTACACTTCTGGTAAGTTGCCAGTGATAACTCTTCACTGATTACATTTAAAAAATCATAAATTTTTTTTTTTTAAATAACAAACTTGTCACAACAAATCAATTTTTTTATGTACACGTACATTTCACATACATTTCCAATATTTTATTTATTTTAAAATCTTCTTTATAGATGGAAAAAATGCAGCCATTTTTTGGGGTTTACATGGTTACTTAGTTCCGACTAAGTTAACCGTAACAAAAAAAGATGACAAGAAGGGGCTCTTAAGAGTCCTTTGTTTTTATAGGAAAAACACTGCAAGAAGTTGAAGACCATCTGCTTTATCTAAAGTAAGTTAAGATATCCATTCAGCCATTTATATATTGCGTTGGTGAAGATATTCTGCATATCAAAGAAATTGGTGTTTATTTTGATAACATAAAATACAGTTTTAAAACTATTTATTTATTGACCTACATTTTCCACCAGAATGTCTGACATTTTATAGTTCACTCGAAACTTTTTTTTATAATTTATAACCAAAAAATGTAACTTCAAAAGTTCATGTTTTATCGGAATACCTAAAAAATATCGCGAAGTAAATGAAACAAATTAATTTGTTAATTTATTATTTCATAGGTTAAACATTTTCGCCCTGTTATAGGGCCAAACTAATTAGAATAAATAGTAGACAGTCCCATTTTTTTGTAACTTATAAGTTAAAGAATAAATATAAGTGTTGCTTAAATTTTATCTATTTATGAAAAACAATATATTAATATTGTATTACCGAATTTTATTCATTGGATTAATTAAAACATATTTATAAAAAAAAAACCTTTTTACTCAATGGGAGGTATTTATAAAAAAGGAACTTTATACTTACAAAATATGAAGGACATCCTGCTTGTATTTATAATCATTAATACAAGCCGAAGGATTTTCTTCATATTTTGCAATTATAAGCATATCCTTTTTTATAAATACAGCTAATTTAATAACTTAAATACGCTGACACCTTAAACAGTAGTAATTAATATTATAAATTAGTCTGTTGTTACAATAAACGATATTTATTGATAACATTGAATATATTTATTATATTAATAATCATGTCTTCTTATAATTCACAAACGGTGTTTATAGAATACATAAACTTAAGTTTGTAAATGCAGTAAACATGTTTTGTCAAAATTCGCTAACGTTAGCTAAAAAATTCATAAACTCTTGTTTGTAAATACAAAAAACATTAATTCAATAAAAATTATTTACCAATAAATAATGATTTAAATGATTTAAATGATTTATTTGCTCCATAAAACCGTTTATTGGACCTATTTTAAAAACCACGTTTGTTGTTAGCATGTACTTTTTTATTGTATTTACGTACCTTTTTGGTTGAGTGTAGTTACATTTTTAGAACAATATAAAAAACGAAATCTATGTATTCCACAATAAGGCCATTTCAAACGATTTGAATTTTCCTTATAAAAAACGAAAATATTCTAAAAGGTACTTTTTGTGCATATATTTATTATATGTCATTTAAATGTTCAGAAACTGTAAAAAATTCGTCAATTCTAAATGCACATAAAACATGTTGTTATGCTTTGATTTATGCTGTAATACTGCTTTATATATATAAATATATATTATTATTATTATTATTATTATTATTTATACTAAAATATCATTTATTTTGCGTAGTAGGCTGTCGATAAATTAAGAGATATATTGTGTCGCTGTCTTGTCACAGTCGTTGTAAGTGCTTTTAATTAAGTTATCTGAAGTAAATATTATATTAATAATTAAGGTAAGCAAACATATTTACTGATCTTATTTACTTAATAAGTTTTTTGTCCCGTCCAAAACCAAAATCATGGTTAATTTAGCCTACATTTGTAAAGGTCTGTGTACTTCAAACTCTATTTCTTATTTAATTGCTATTAAATTAATATCGTAGTTAAACATTACTTTATTTGCGCTGTATCCAAATATTTAAAATTTATAAAATTAAAATTAATATCGTAGTTAAATATTACTTTAACGATAACGTTTATGCAATCGTTTTAATTACATATTTTGTATTACAGAAAATATGGCACCTAACTTAAACTTGATGTTAACAAACACACGATTTTTAAAGAAAAAGATGCTAAAAGGAAAAGATAAAGTAGAATAAAGCAGAAAACATTGATGCAGAGGGGACTTGTTACAGTAGATATAATAAACCAAAAGAGAAGGCAGAAAACACTGAGGAAAAAGCTTTATCATCAAAGAAAAAAGGAAAGGTTGCAGGACACAATTCACCAAGAGGAAACTACCAGCGCGTTTAAAACTCCACAATCGATGGGAAAAGTTGTAAAGAAAATTAAATCTATATTGATAAAGTGCCCTGACAAAAAAAGGAGGTTTAAAAAAATGTTTCTTGCAGAATTTCCAAAATTTTCAAGTATGTTAGAGAACTCTGATAAAAAAGCAAGGCCGTGGAATAAACTAGAAAGTAATGTTATAGAACGTGTTAAAAGAATTTATAACAGAGACGATATAAGTAGGCATACGTCAGGAAAAAGATACGTTGCTGTAAAAAATGATACAGGAGAAAAAGAAAAAATTCAAAAGCGGCACATGACAATCACCGTTAAAGAAGCATATCACTTGTTTGTATCCGAAAACCCTGAAATAAATATTAACAAAGTTTTACGAATTGCCGTCTGAAACATGTTTTGTTAAGTTCATTAATGCCTTACCATGCAAACTTTAATTTTTTGGTTAAAGCTATCAGTAATTATGTAAGTGGATTGCCCTAAAAAATCCAGAGAATTATTGTCTGTTATATGTTGCCAAATAATTTTAAGTGTATGAATAACTTGCGTGAAATGTGATAGTGATATAAAATTTGCATTGATACCTCTACTAACACTTTAAAAGCTGCTTTCGATCAACTGCAAGAATCTTTGGAAAAATTTAAAATTCATTGTTTTGTAAAAACAATACAGGAACGTTATTTTTAAACTGAAAAAAGTAATCTAAACGAAGAAAATGTTGTACTGCAAGTTGACTTTGCAGAGAACTACTCTTGTATAAGTCAAGACTAGATTCAGAGTGCCCACTGGTGTCACAGACAGGTCACAGTTTTTACTGCAGTTGCCTGGACCAAAAACATACACCACTCCTTTGCTATTATCAGTGATGAACTTTCTCATGATAAGTTTGCAGTCTGGATTTTCTTAAAAGAAATAATTCAGTCGTTAAGAAAGAGCTACCCTGCTTTAAAAAACATATCAATTTTTTCCGATGGTTGCGCAGCGCAGTTTACAATTTCGAATTTATGTTACATGCAAGAAGATTTTATATTTGGCTATTGGAGTTTCTTGGTCACATCTCATGGCAATGGAGCTGTGGATGGAGTAGGAGGAAAGCTTAAAAGACTAGCTTGGGAAATGGGAAAAAGCAGAAAAGTGTTGGTAAATATTTCCAAAGATATTTTTAATGCGCTTAAAGATAAGACTTAAAATCTTATATACGTACCCAGCCAAAAGATACAGGTAAACAAAGACATGTTGGCCAGTCGATGCATCCCATGGGAAAATGTTTTATCAATTCAAGGTCTTCAATCATGTCATTTTTTTTAGGTCTGCAGATAAATTGTTAGAAATTGGTCAGACTCGTCAAAATAATTTAAGAATATTATCTGTTATTAAATATTAATTAAAAAAGATTTTGTAAAATGCAAACATCGTTATTGTTCCCTTTATTTTTCTTTATAATGTTGTTTAAACAAAAATAGATTACATTTAACTGGCTGGTACGTATTATAACAAAGCTTTATTTCTAACGCAATTACTGTGACTTACCAGTACCCTCTTAAACTCCAAAAATTGTTTTTTTTTTGTTTTAAGAACAACCATTTTAGAAAACTTTGTTGTTTTTAATAATAGTAAAAATGGTATTGATTTCTCTTTTCCCGTCCACAACTGTCAAATATTAAAATTATCTCTACTTTTATAAAATATTTTTTGGGTTTTTTTTATTTAATTTATAGCCTAACAAAGGAAGAATATATTTGACAATTTTGAAGCCAAATTAGTACATAATAAATTACCTACTTTTTTCATTAAAACAGTTTTGTGATTTATCCCGTCCGCATGCTTGAAATGGCCAAATAGAAATATAATGTTTAGCTATTTTGTATGAAGTTAATCAATTTAGACCCTACATATACGGAAGAGAATTTATTATCTATAGAGACCATCGCCCTTTGACATGGCTTTTTTTAGTTAAAGATCCTCATTCTTAATTAGTAGTGATGGGCAAAATCGGATTATTTCAATAACCCATTATATTCGATACGATTATTTCAAAAATCGGATGATAATTCGGTTAAATAATCGGCGATTTATAAATCACATACTTTCATTCGGATTTTAATATCAGAAAGTATAATCGGCGATTCCAATAAACCGAATATCGAACTTATTCGAATTCCAACGATGTCATATGTATCGTACTTCCTAGAGTTGGCCATTTCGATATTTTTAAATATACGATATGATATTTAAAATTATTTTCCATACGAAACTTTAAATAAAACGATACAATACGATATTATTTTTTATAATCTTAATATATTAGGTATTATTGCCTAGAGTTCAGGACCGGCTTCCATTCGATTTAGTTGTTTAGTTGTTTTATTTTATATTTATATATAATAAATTTATATATAATTAATTCGGGAATATATATATATATATATATATATATATATATATATATATATATTCCCGAATTAATTATTATATTTGATAAAAATGAGTCCTCCTAGAAAATCCGTAGTATGGAAAGATTTTCAAAAGAGTGGTAGTAATACTGATAAAGTGGCCACGTGCAATATGTGTAAAAAGGCAATAAAATTCTTTGGTAGAACAACTTATCTAAAGCAGCATTTAATAAGAATCCACCCATTGGTTAAATTAGACTTCCCACCAATGAAGAAGATGAAGCTAATGAGTATATTCCAACAAGTGATGATTCAAAATAATGAAAGGAATAACCCAGGACCATCAAATACTAAAATTAGGACAGAAGTTCAGTCAAAACCCGCCAAGGTAGCCAAGCAGTTTATGCTTTATGGTTCTCGCCTCGGAAATATGCTCTCTGAAGCAAAAATTTCTTTCATAGATCAGGCATTGTTAAAAATGGTAACACTAGGTTATCAGCCACAAATTAAATTTTGCCGAAGCAATATTTCAGCAACCATATTAAAAAATCTCTTAAGAAAAATTGAATACACACGGCATAAAATGTTTCAGTATACTTGAGCAAAATTTTCAACAAGTGGGATATAACAAATAAAATCCTAACAATAATATCTGATAATGGGGCCAATATAAAAAAGCAATTAATGACTGTTTGCAGAAACACCATCTCACCCTTGTGTAGCACATACACTTAATTTAAGTGTGACCGATGCGCTGTCCGGCCAAAATGAATTATCAGTAATTTTAAAAAAGTGCCGTGCTCTAGTGGGTCATTTTAAACATAGTGCAGTTGCCAGTAAAAAACTTGCAAGCGTAAAAACGCAGATGGGCTCAACGGTATTAAAAGTAAAACAAGATGTAGCCACACGCAGGAACTCTTGTTTCATAATGATTTAAAGACTTCTTCAAATAAAAGATCCTTTATGTGTTGCTGTTGCTAATTTGCCGAATGCACAGAAACTCTAGACGCAGAAGAATGGTCAATTTTGGGTGATATATTGAAACCAGCAAATGACCTCACCACCATTTTATCCGGTGAGAAATACCCCAGCCTATCCCTCAATATTCCACTGATCAGAGGATCTCAGTACACCCTGAAAAATTTCATCCATCAGACAGATGTTGGTGAGAAACTAAAACAAACGCTGCTTGAAACTGTAAAGAGGAGGTTAGGAGGATTCGAGAGCAATAAAATAGTTGCTAAGGCTTGTTTCTTAGATCCCAGGTTCAAGAAAATTGCATTTGGCTCCGAGGATAACGCTAATAATAAGCAAAAATGTGTGGTGGAAGAAATGACCCAGTTGATTTCCAACAAAGCTCAAGTGGTCAATACCCCAGAAGTCAGTCAAAAAATATGATCGCATTTTGATAGCAAAATTACAAAAGTCACCTCACATATTGTAATATGTGAATGCGTGGTGGTTTTTGTGCTCCTGACAAATTGTTAAAATTTTCAAGTTGTGCTGAACTGTAAATTTTAATACTTTCACAAAGTGTTTTTGTACGTATATATAACTGATAGTAAGTGCAAATTTTAGTAATAGATGGAAGAAGTTATTTAACTAAAAATTAATATATCTATAAATTTAACGAGAACGTTTAATGCAAAAATAAATCGACTACAAAAACAATCGAATGCAAAAAAGAAGTAAATTCTAAAAGGACAAAAGCATAAAACCCAAGGGTCGTCGTTTGGAATCGAACCTCCGTCGTAGAGCTGCTGCGGATTCCAAATTCCAAAACTTTTATTTTCCTATTTGGTTACATAACTAACATATATATCACAGATATTTCACAATACAGTTTCCCTATAACAATAAAAACAAAAAGATTTTTATTACAAGCCCATATGGGCGTAGGGTGCCTTAAGGGCCGTAGCTCTTATGGCCGTCGATGTATGACAAACGGTACAAATCGCAACACATGTTTTTAATTAATGATTTTATTTCCCTTGTATGCGCTGAGCGCTTATGGGGGACATTTATTTTGTGCTCTTTTAAATTGTGGTTTTTAATGTCTTACGACTTTCTTGACTTTGCTTATTGGGTGTAAATTCAGGGAAAAATAAGATAAAAAACCCTGTCATATGCTTGTTGAAAAGGTTTTTTGAGACGTTTAATTACAATGTCTGATTTGCTAGTATATGGGCATTATTGCCAGTGTCGTGTTTGGGGGGTTTTTAACAAAGATGTAGTGGTTCAGTGAGGCCGGCCACTACACCTTTATTTTGGAGATAAAGGTGTACCGACTGAAATACCCCAGTCGGCACACCTTTATTTGTGCAGTCGCTACACCTTTATAGAAAGATAAAGGTGTAGCGTCAGGTGCTGTCGGTACACCTTTATTTGTCCGTCGCTACACCTTTATTTGAACAAAGGCCCAGCGATCGGTTTTATTCTGCTTTTTTGCAGAATTTATTTGGTTTTCCTTCATTCAGGGTTGTTAGTGCCCCTTTGATTGTATGGGGCATTTTATAAGCGGAAAACATCGGCCGTCGCTGCACCTTTATTTGCAGTCGCCACACCTTTAAAACTTAAAGGTACGGCGACCGCACGTAAGGTACGTTAGGAAGCTACAGCCGATATTTTGCGCTTATATAAGGGGACTAGTGCTTCCGAAGTGGCGTCGGGCGGAAAAAATTTTAAAAAGTGTTTTTGAGCGTAAAAAACGTTTCCGCGTCCCCGTGCATTCTTACAGGAGATTATCGCCCCGCCACGGATTGCTGGGCGGGTGCCTTGGCGTGGAGCTAAAGTCCGATATAAATAATAGTTGTTCGTACTTCTATTTAAATGTCGAAAATTACATCCTTGGATGAATTATTTGCAAAATTACAGCAAGAAAATAAGAAAATTACGGATAGCATAAAAAAAGACATTCAAGAAACCAGCACAATATTGCAAGAAAAAATTGAGAATATTACAACAAGAATTAATAATTTAGAAATAAAACAAATCCAAATTGCAGAAGAACAAAAAAAATTTGAAAAAAAAACAAAACCTGTTGGAAAGAAAATTAATAAAAAATAATATTATAGTTTTTGGGCTTAAGACCACCACACAAAACCTAACTAAGGAAATACTAGAATTTATAAAAGCAAAGCTAGAAACGGAAATAAGAGAAGAGGATATAAATAATATTTACATAATTGGCAAACAAAATACTAACAAACCAATTATTATCGAATATATTTCATACACGAAGAAAGCCGAAGTACTAAAAAACTGTTCGAAATTGAGAGGTTTAAATATTACTTTTGTACACCAACAAACGAAGGCCGATCAAGAAGTTTCAAAGATCTTAAGGAAACATCTTAAGATAGCAAAAGAAAACGACAAAGCCGCTAAAATCGTAGGCGAAACCCTTAATATAAAAGGCAAAAGATATACTATAGAAGCTATTGAAGACCATAAATTGCAAGAATCACAAAACCCATCCACACCTATACTTTGCACAAAACAAATTTTTAAAGAAATACATTTAATCGGTGAAAAGTTATCTTCATCGATAAACAAAGACAAAAAGCTTATCCAAAAGCTTTTCCAGGATATACCCAGAGCAGGACCCGCTACAAGGTCAAAAAAAGACCAAACTGATTTAATTTAGGATTAAAACTTTTAAACAAAATTTTAATACTGAAACAATTAAGAATGTTAGCAAAAACATATGTTCTCCACTTACCAGAGCTGTTCCGAGTACAATGAAAAAGTACTCGAGTACCAAGTACAAGTACAGTACCGTTGTACTCGAGTACCCATACGAGTACAAAGTACCGAGTACACTTTAGTTATGAAATGTTGGGAAAAATGCTAGAGAAATGGGGCGAATAAGAAATGAATTTAGAATCACTAGTGCAAAACTAAACACTAGAAATTTCAAATATTTATATATCGCTTTATGTTAATTTCAAGGCCGGCTAGTATCATGTTTTACTTTGCCTTAGCTTTATTTTTTAATTATCTTTTTGAGGAATATTGTCACCTTATTTCTACCAAAATATAAACAAAGTTACATTTCATACATAAGTAAAAACCTTTTGTTTAATGCTCTTTTTTGTGTCTTTTTATTTATTGATTGAGGCCGTTTTAAGGCTGTCGTGTGAGTCAAGCTGGCTGATGCTGCCTCAGGCAGCATGTCCGTAATTTGACAAGTCTGAGCAGTATTGCCAAATTTTCAACACCCACGCACATATGTGTCCACGCCAACCTCACTGCATAAAAATGTACTCATTTCATACTTTGGATGTACTCGAGGACACGTAAAAGTACTCGAGTACACGGGAAAGTACTCGAGTACACGGGAAAGTACTCGAGTACATTTTTGCAATCTTAAATGTATCAAGTACAAGTATAAGTACATTCAAATTAAAGTACTCGGGACTGAGTACCGAGTACACTGAAAGTACTTGGAGTACAGTGTACTTGTACTCGAGTACCGCACAGCTCTGCCACTTACTTATATTATTAATAAAATAATAGAAACTGGGTACTGTCCATCAGCATTTAAAACATCCATTATTGTACCGGTTTTTAAAAATGGTGACGCAAGTGGTATTGTAAATTATAGGCCTATATCTTTGGTGACATGTCTTGCCAAGGTTTTTGAAAAAAAATAATAAAAATTAGATTGGACAACTATCTTCAAAAATTTAACCTAATTTCACCGTCTCAGTTTGGATTTCAAGCAAAAAAATCAACCCAGGATGCTATAGACTTACTAACAAAAAACATTTATAATAGTCTAGACGAAGTCCATCCATGTGTGTATTTTTGGACCTATCCAAAGCATTTGACACAGTTAGCCACCCGATTCTGTTGAAAATTCTGAATAATATAGGTATCAGGGGAACACCATACAAGCTTTTTGAAAGCTACTTAAAAATAGATTACAATGTGTTAAAATTAAGGACTCCCTTAGTAGCTTCAGGGAGATAAAATATGGTGTTCCTCAGGGCACTGTGCTGGGTCCAATTTTATTTACGCTATATATGGATGGACTCTTCTCAGTGCCTAGTCCTGCAAAAATAGTAAGTTTTGCAGATGATACAGCACTATTTTATAAAGCAAGAAATTGGGAAATTCTAAGGAACATAGTGCAAAATAAATTATTGGACATTAAAAACTGGTTGTTATAATAGTTCAAAGGTAGGAAAGGTTTGGCAACAACGTATGAAAAGGTTGGCAAGCATGCACCACCACGTGAACGTCCTTGCTTACGTGAACTGTCAGCTTTTCCCGCTAAGAATAATGACGAGGGAATAAAATAATAACACCGTTAGTTCCAATTAGTTTCCTTCTGCTACAACCCTTTAAATTACAACACTGGTTTAATAGTATGCTTCTTTCGATAAACTTTGGGAAGACGTGTTACATTCCTTTTACATGCCATAATTACAATCTTCCAGTATTTAACAAAATTAAGATCATGTTGAAATCAATCAAGAAAGCTCAATTAAATATTTAGGAATTGTAATTGATCAACATTTAAAATCGGAAGCACATATCCAACATGTTCTAAAAAAAATTCGAATTTTAACATACAAATTTAAATATCTAAAACAAATACTCACATATAATGATCTAAAAATTCTATATCATGCCCTTGTAGAAAGTCATTTATCTTATGGAATTATTGAATGGGGTGGAGTATTTGACGCTTATTTGGATTCTCTACAAAAAATTCAAAAAAGAATAATTAAAATAATTTATAATAAAGAGTTAACCTATCCGTCTGATTTGCTCTTTTCCGAGACACGAATATTAAGTGTAAGAAAGTTATATTGCTTTAATTTATGTCAAAATCAATTTAAAAAAAAGATAGCTTACCTCTATTGGAACATCCTTACGAGACCCGCCGCATAAAAAAGTATAAAGTTCCAAAAATGAAGAAGGTAGTTGGCCAAAGATCTGCTGTCTATCTGGGTCCAACATTTCTTAACTTTGTCCCAAAAAATATAACAGCTGCGAAACACTTTTATTAATTTAAAATACAATTAAGAGATTTTCTAATTACCACGTCAGAGAGATCAATAGATGGGTTAATCAATAATCGCTGCTAAAATACAATTAAGACACTACTGGTTCTGTTGTTTGAATTTTGTATATATTTTACTGCTGTTAGTTTTATTTACGTTGTTTTTGCCGTGATATTTGTAATTATTTATATTGTAATTGTTTATATTTATTTTTTTTGGTTTTTAACTTTAAACTACGTTTTTAATATAATTATATTTTCTGTATTTATTTCCCCAGACAAGTTATTACTTACGGGGTTACTTTGTATTTATTTTGCCAATTATTTTTATTATACTGTATATATTTAATTTATTTGTAAGGTTTATATGGTAAAATAAATATTATTATTATTATTATTATTTACCTCCAACTTCGATTGTTATTTTGATAGTAAGGCAGTATCTTGAAATCCCTAATTTAGATCGTCAGCGAAACCCTGATTTTTCCGGAGATGTATGAGCTGGCTATGAAATATTTATGCGTTTCTGCTACCTCCGTGCCTACAGAAAAGGTTTTTTTCAAAAACGGGCCAGCTCACCAATTCAAGAAAAAAGAGACTTGCTGCGAAAAACCTTGATTACATTGTTTTTTTGAACTCGCAGAATTAAAAGTTATTATTTGTTAGTAAAAATTTATGTAAATCTCCAGTTTTAATAAATGTGATCCGTCCTCTTATGATTATTTTTTACTTTCTATACAACTTCCGATATAGTACAATATAATATATTTTGCAAATATCTGTTAACTTCACTTAGCGGAAACTAAATAAAAACAAGTTCACCTCTGTTCGCGCAAATTTACCACACCGGATCTGTCCTGAACCGTTGACTTGCGCAAGGGCGGTCGTAATCAAATTAATAATTCGAATGAAAGTATGCGATTAGTAATCGCCGATTATTTAATCGAATTGATAATTCGAATAGAAGTATACGATTAATAATCGCCGATAATTTTCGAAAAATATTCGAAACAAAACACAGAAAATTTTCGGGTCATCGAAATCAAACCGCACCGGACTATTTTTTTCTGAAAATATGCCTATCCAATAGCAAAACCCTCGCTGGGTTTGTAAAAGTTTGTATTTTCGAGCTTTATATACCCCATTTAGACTAATAAATCAAATTTTTTCACATATATAATGAAGCTGTAATAAACTATTATAGATAGAAAAAATAATTTGAATAAGCAATGCCTACGTATTTTAAATGCAGTATTTGCCCAATAAAGCTGTAATAATAAACTATTATAGATAGAAAAAACAATTCGAATAAAAAACTTAGAATTTAACTGTTTGAACGTGGTAAAAAAATGGTGTGTTTGTGGAAAAAATACTAGCATCGTTATCATTTTTGATTTTTTGTTGGTATATTTACTCTTTTAAACGCTTCTTTTAAGAATATGAAATAGTATTATTTCGTAATATTATTTTTCCAAAATAGTATTGAAGCCCTTAAGTTTGGTACACCCTGTACATATTTTTTTATATTGGTACCGTGAACGTTTCGTAACCAAATAGTTTTTGCTAACAAACTAAAATTTATTCTTCTTATTTGCGTGAATTTTATAAATTGAATAAACAAAAATGTATAACTGTACTTAAAATATTAGCTTTGTTCGCGGAGCCCATCCATGACTTGTTCCGTATCTGTATAGGGTAAATAATCACGAACCATGGTACGCATGCGCGATTCGGAACCGATCAAGAATTAACAAATCTCCGCGAACGCGTTTCTAACCGCAACCATCAGTCAGCTGTTTTGTGACAAAACTTTTTGGGGAATCTCCTTCCTGATAATTATAGTATTCAGAATTGCTAAATCGCTCTGCTAAATCATCAACAATCTCTTTGCTAACTCGAAAATGCTCCCTAAATAGCTGATCATCGAACATGGGAACAATTTCTTCAAAATATGCAGTATTTTTAGGAACTTCAATTAAATCTAAACTATTTTCTAAATCTTCATCACTGGATGATAGATGATCACTCATCTATAAAATAAGCAAGGAAATGAACAATGCAAGTAAAAAATAAGTATTTCAACTTACGTTTTCGTTTAACAATTTAATTAAAAACAATATAGAACATATAATCTAAAATTAACTTTAAACAATAATGAACAATACGCATGTCTGACAGCTAGTACATGCTAAAATCCTCGGATCGTTTTGACTTGTCAGTAATTAGTTCGAAACTGGTCCCGAAGGCTCCGCGAACGAGTGATCAAATGTCAAATGTTGCCGATTTTTACACCGCGAACGCTAAAATTGCCAGTGCGCATGCGCAGTTGTCACGGATTGATCACGGATGAGCTCCGCGAACAAAGCTATTAACGTTTTCTGCTATTGTTGTGGACGTTTTACACCATCGAGTGAAAAGCATGGATCATTTGGTGATAATTTTATTTTGCCATGCAAACATTATTTTGAAGTTACTTTGAATTAACCGTGGGCGCCGAACATAGTTTGCAGAGCTTGTCACGTCGGTTTAATTAATTGGATGCATAAAAAACAAAATAAAATGCCTTTTGAAGTTCCAATGCTATGGCACAATCCAGGAGAACATAATCCAGAAAATTGTTTTGCTTGTAAAAATAATGTGGTCGGGCTGAACAAAAAGAAAGCAAAATGTTTCCGTTCCGTGTGTACAATTACCACTGGATCATGGTAAAAATATTCCAGTGCCAAAATGTCCAAGCCCAGGTGTTTTAACTGCTTTTACTGCTATATCAAAGTCACCGCCAATTGATGCATATTCCGAGTATGTTGCTGAACCATCAGCTTTAAATCAGCCGATTCTAATAACGCAAAGTAAATTGGATGAAATTGTTGCCAAATTGGAGCTAACACAGCGAAAGTCAGAAATATTAGCATCTTTTTTTAAATCAAATAACTTGTTAGCAACAGATACAAAAGTTACGGCATATCGTAATCGCAATGAACAATTTAAATATTTTTTTACTTTTAATGCGGAAAAGACATTTGCTCATTGTCACGACATTTTAAGTTTGATGAATAAAATGGATATATGGATGTACGTACCATACAGGCGAGGCGACTGGAGGTTATTCATTGACAGTTCGAAATTCAGTTTAAAAGCAGTTTTGCTTGACAAAACCAACTTAAAACCATCGATACCAATTGCAATTGCGTTTGAAAAAATGGATCGCATTATACAATTGGTCGATTATAAAAAACACAATTGGCGTGTATGTTGTGACTTAAAGATCGTTGCCATGCTTACCGGTCTTCAAGGCGGCTACATTAAGCGATTGTGTTTTTTATGCGATTGGGACAGTCAAGATCAATATGCAAAACACGACTGGAAAATGAGAGCTGAAAGTGAGAAAAGAGACGCCACACAGTGGTCGGAAAAGGGGGAAAAGCTAGCCAAAATTGAAAAATCAATGTTTTTTTTTTAAGTAAAACACAATATAGTATTCTATACTGGACCAAATGTCAAAAGGATATGGCTATGTTTTATCCACGAGGGCTTTGAGAAAGCGAGCAAGAGGGCCTGCCGCCATAGGTGAGGTGAACCCTCTGTTAAAAGTGCTGTAGATTTTGTTTAAAGAGCGCGATTTCTTCGACGATAAAATTTTAATACGAGGTATATGTTATTCATGCATGATGTATTATAATAGTATCCTCAAAGTGATCTTCTTAGAAAGTTTTAGTCAACAAAAAAGTACATAAAAAACATGTTTTTAAAAAATGCGCCACGCCGCCCCGCTATAATTTCTATCAAAATACAAAGTTAACAAGTTACTAAACATTATTATGTTTGGCTGCGACCAATTGCGATTTTCGTTTTAAGGACGTTTACAAGATAGGTGTGAATGGATCGTGCTTAGGCGCATTAGAAGCGCAAACGTACAAAATAAAATCTTTAAAAAATGTACTCACAAATCAGTTTATATATGTTTTTAAGGACAACGTCCAAATTGTCATTAACAAAATGGCGGACTCAAAATGGCCGACCAACTTTGGAAAAAATACCATCGCGCTAGCTAAAAACAGTAATTTTGGGTCTAGAAATGGCGGTTCTACAATGGCCGTTTTAAATACAATGTTTCTGGGTTTTTGTGGAAGAATGTTTTAAAAACGTTTCTAGAAACCTTTTTAAAACGTTTAAACTTTAAACTATGTACTAACTGGGAAAAAATTACCTAACTGACTTAAAAAAAAGGACATCTTGACATCAATGGAATGAAATGAAATTAGAAAATTAACTTTAATTAAGCATGACGTATTTCTATAGATAAAGTTAATTTAAGTCTTATTATAGGCTAAAAAATAGTCTATAATGGAGTTTACTCGGATTTTTTTAATGATAAAAACCGACTTACACTTGGCCTTCGATCAACAGCTCTTGAGGTTGGAAAGAAATATATTCGAACCAGACATATTTCATTCCAAATACATCCTGATGAAAAAAAATTTAAACGGATTCTTGGAAAAATAAAACAGATCGGTTCTTGAAGAGAAACGAAGCCTGGCTTGACGCTACTGTAAAAATAACAGTGAGTGTTTTTTTAGTCTTATTCGTATTTTATGCAATTTGTATATTTCAGAACTTTGCTAAAATGACAAAACCCGTCGACAGTCTTTTGACAGTGAATTACCATCTACTTTGTCAAAACAAAGCGAAGGAAGACTGAGCATTTACGTAATTTGTACAGCATAGATCAGTTGGTATATGCCACTCAAATGAAGCTTCGTGCATTTGGAGCTTTGCAAGCAACGAGTATTTTGAAGGAGGTGACTTCCACGTCTGCAACGCACGCCTCAAAATATCAGTTAGCATATCGCGATTCGTTGAAAGAGCCTGTAGCCTGTAGACGCTATTCCCGCAGATGAAGCATTAAATTTGATGATTTCTGGCAAAATGGCCAAAGAAACTTATATTTAAATAAGAAAACTAACTAATAAAAATAGTCGTACCTCAGTTTACCCTGCCTACGACTTTATTGTAGCCGCTAAAAATCGTTGTTACCCCCAAACAATAGCCATTTCTGAAACTTGCGCGGAGGTAAACTAGCAAGCTTTACTTGATCACACCGCCGGTCGATTATTAGAATCCCAGACAAAAGTCATTGAATTCCTTGATCAAAAGTTTACACAAAATTTAACATTAATCGTCAAATGGAGTTGCGACGGTTCATCCGGTCATAAATACAAACAAAAATTTGAGAATTTACCTCAATTGTCCCCTTGAGACTTTATGCCATAAATAAACAAAAATGATAATGTCCTTGTTTGGAATAATGCGAAACCCCCGCGTTTTTGCCGAACATTAAGGCTTCAATTCAAGAAAAAATCCGTGTACTCCACTTGCGTAGAGCAGGAAAATGTTGACAAACAAATCTGTCTCCATTTTGTGCATTCCTTCGGGACACAATATTCGAGTTGTCTACAAATTGGCCTTTACAATGATAGATGGCAAAGTAAAAAATGCTATAACTGAAACTACATCTCCAATGCGATGATACATTTGCAGAGCAACATCGAAAGAATTTAATGATCTTGAAAAGATTATTAATTGTTTTGACCTTTACTTGATGAAACACCATGTGGATATAAAAACAACTTTGTTGTAAACTTTCACGAAATTTATTAAATTTTGACAATTGTTTCGCTACACAGTAGCTTCTTCAGAATGTATACATATAATACATTCTGAAGAAGCTACTATGTAGCGAAGCAATTGTCAAAATTTAATAAATTTCGTGAAACTTTACAACAAAGTTGTTTTTATATCCACATAGTATCTGGAAAAGATACTAAAAAAAAGTTAACGAATCTCATTATCAATTCGGCATTAGTATATTACATGTATGGATTAGATTTATGGAGTGGTTTCTGCATTTGGGTTATAAAATCAATCTAGAACAACTAGATCAGAAATGGCAAGCGCGCACGGACGAAATGAAAGCCTATGTCCAGAAGCGCAAGAAAAAAAATTCAAGAGAATTTTTGGAAGGAGCTGGGGTTGCATCGACATTCCGGAAGGAGGACTTGGAAAGACAAATGACGGCAATACAGCGCGGCGATTTTTCGACAACACTTCTTCGGCAGCTAATATTCTGCAAGTTGATGAAGAATTGTTGGAAAATGCGGAAAAATTCCGAAATTTCTGCTTGGGCATTGCCCGAAGATATGTTGAATTGTACAAGTGGTTCCCTATGCCCACTTCATGTCACGCCATACTTATTTACGGCGCCGACATCATAGAGTCGATCGCAGTTCTCAGAGTCCCTAAATAAAGATATAAAATACATTCGCGAACACAATGGAACATGTATTCAAAGGACTACTGGTATCTTCGGATCCAATGATATCGAGTTACCAACCAATGCGACCAAAAAAAAGTTCTCCTCTTAGTCATAAAGTATTAGAACTGCCATCGCCCTATGCATGTTCATCGAATGAGGACAAGCTTGATATGGAATATCCGGGTGATTTAGTTATAAACAAAGATTATATTTGAGCAAATTTATTGTATTAATTGGATATTATTGTCTTTGTCAAAATTATTTTTTTTTTAGTTTCTTTTAATTATAATGTGTCAGTTTTGGTAAAAACTAAGTAAATAAATAAAATGTTTTTTATTTTGTAACCTTGAATTTGTATTATTTGACCTGCGAAAACACTCTAACACTGCCATTTTGTGGTACCAACCTTTTGTCAATCATTTTGACCTCAAATTTAAAGTCCTTGACCCAAAAACCCCCTTACTACTACTTTTTTTCGAACGTGTTGTTCATCCATTTTGTTTTTTACCATTTTTACCTCAAATTCAGGATTCTCGGACCTCGAAAACAGGAATTAATTTTTAAAAAAGGTCGGTATTTGAATTTTGGCCAGCTTTTTGTGAGTTTCCGACCACTGTGCGCCAATAGAATTCACAAGGAACTTGTACCACCCGAAAAAATTATTTTGACTCCACTTCACAACAAGGTAGTTGCTAAAAGAGATGCGGTATTTCGCTGTTTACGTGACATTTTTCCGAGAATCAGTGATGTCAAATTAAAAAATGGTAAGACGCATATATTTCCACACATATATAAATATTCTTATATTAATTTTACTAAAAATCTATACTTTGACGTAAATTTTTAGATAAATTTGAAATAGAATAGAATATTACACATTTTCACAATGCCGATTTCGACAAAACAATTACAGTGCTTGGCTTTGTCTTGGCCTACTTTTTGTTTCGTCAAAATCAACATTTAATAATAAAATTAATATAAAATAAAAAATTAAACTCTCTGTACTTTTCTACAATTATATTTTATCTATTCATTTTTTTTCTACAGATTTTTCAAAGATTTCGGCAAAAAAATTGGTTTTGAGTGTGAAAAGATGAATATTTTGTAAAATCTTATTTAAACATTGTTTTCCAGCAAATAGGCAAACTTAAAGTTCAGTTTAGTGTGCGTATTTTATAAATTATAAATTAATATAAATTATAAATAAATCTTCTAGTACATTTTACAACATTTTTGCCAGAAGAAGTAGCAAGAAATTTTAAATATTATCAAAAAATTAAAAAAAAAAATGTAATTTTTCGAATATTTGGTTACAAAAATTGGGTTTTGTAATATAGGTTGTTCACAAAATGGGTTTATTTGTTTAGTAACTACATTTCTACAAAAAATCTTGACGATATAAATCGAATATATGCGAAAAATAAGTCTAAATTGGGGTATATGAAGCTCGAAAATACAAACAGCCATAAAAAAAATTCGAGCACACTTTTACAAACCCAGCGAGGGTTTTGCTATTGGATAGGTATATTTTCAGAAAAAAATAATCCGGTGCGGTTTGATTTTTGGTGTTGCACACTCTGCAATGCATAGTGGAATCCGCGATTATTAATCGCATATTCTCATTCGGATTTTAAATTGAATGAGTCATTCGGCGACTCGAATACAAATAGTAATTTACGATTATGATGATACGATTATAAAATTTATTTAATGTTGATAATGTTATATCCTGATCTTAAAGAAAAAACGCGATAAGAAGTGACTTTAATACGTATTTGAGCAGATTATTTTTAATTCGAATTACGATTATTCCAATAATCGGTTTACAGGATATTTTTAATTCAAATTCGCCCATAAAACAGTAAAAAAAGACCAACGTAATATCCTATAAAATATTTGACGTAAAAGATTATGAAATATCATCACAGAATATTTTCTGCAAATGAAATGTCCCATAAATAATCTGTAAAATTTGTTGCAGTAGTTATATCGTTGAATTCTACGAATTATGCTTTATTTTATCTATGTCTATTCTGCACTTTATAGTTTATATATACACCTTGCATTGTAAAATTAAAATAATAAGATTTCCGTTCTCAAGCTGTAAACACCATTTCGAAATAAAGTTGCTTTTTTAAAAAGTGTTTTCAACAAAAAAGTTATTTAATTGGCGCAGTCGGTAGGATTCGCGTAGGGATGCACTGAAAGACTATCGAAGTTTTTGTGAAGTTCCGTCAGATTATCTGTTAAACGCGATTCGAACATTATTTGACTTTTTGTGAAACTCCAATTTTGAAAACAGTGACTAGAAAGAGTGGATAGCAGTGCGAAAGTGAGAGTGGCAAGGGGCTGAAGAACTACAATTTGGATAAGACCTGCTTTTGGAACGAATATCCGGTAAGAGCCATATCTTCCTTGTATCTTGTCCTTTTCTTCTTACTAGGATATTCTTATTCGCCAGATCTCTGCATAAGATCACGTAAATTAAGGTGGATTTAAGAAAACAAAAACAAACCAATTTCAATCTTTTATTAATCATTAATGTATCAGGATAGAATATCCGATCAAGTAGACGAATTATCTAATTTACTTGGACGGGTAGGACTAACTGTACCCACAGATTCTCCAATAACTTACGCACAAGCGGTAAGCATGAATAGACAACCACAACAACAACCCCAAGCACAGCAAAGACAAGTTAACTATGCTTTGCTGCGCCTTTTTGTCGAACAAATCCCCAACTTTTCTGGTGATTCACATGTACTAACTATTTTTATTGATTCGTGCGATTCTTTAATTAGTACATACACTAACAGGGATGATCCTAATGACCCTATAAACAATTTTCTTTTAAAAGCTGTAATAGGTAAATTAACCGGACGTGCCCTTGTTTTAATCGGTTCAAGAACAGAACTTACAACCTGGACTGACATAAAAAACGTATTAAAATTAACTTTTCGTGACAATAGAAACATTGACTGTATCGTTCAAGATCTTTTAGTTATGCGTCCCTTCCGAAATGAATCCACTATTCAATTTGGTGCACGTATACAAGATGCGAGAAGTTTAATATATTCTAAAGTTAATTCTTCTATTACTGAAACACCTGCAGAAAAACAACTACATCTTAAAAACTACGAAAATTTAGCTCTTAAAACATTTATTAGAGGTTTAACAGGTAGACTCCAAGATGTAATAAGACTTAGAGATTCCTTAAACTTAGAAACCGCTATTTCTTATATTACACAGGTTTACAAATATGGGTCAACTTTTGTACACGAAAAACCAACAACGGTTTTTTACATATTTTTTTGCGCTGAACTCGAATACGTCGCCCGTTTCCCGTGGTCAGGTAAAATTTCCAAGATATCTTATATTAGAAGTTCGACGTACTTACAGTTAATTGCTATAGCATTGTTTTTGTATTGGTTGCAAATAAATTTACAAAAATGTCAAGTATGCATTGCAAAGTCCTGAATATTTTTGTTACGTTTGTGGCGTGTACATTGTCAGAAAAAAAGGCAATAGAATGACAGAATCGCTAAAAAACGCGTATTTTCACTACTTTGGATTTACTGTTAGTGATACAGAAAAGTCGTGGGTGCCTAAATTATGTTGCAACATGTGTCGATCCAAGCTGCAGCGATGGTCAAAGGGTAACAACATATATCTTCCATTTTCAACGCCAATGCTTTGGAGAGAACAACAGAACCACGTAGATGATTGCTATTTTTGCTTAACGAACGTTATGGGTATAAATTTAAAAAGTTTAAAAAGCCTGAAATATCCAGAAGTTTTATCAGTATCAAAGCCAGTTTCTCGTCACGAAAATGACCCTTTACCTGTTTTCCCACAACGCATATAAGCATGGAAGAGTTTGATGACAATATGATGAGTAGTGCAAGCGAGTTTGAGTTTGGCGAAAATCATTTAATTTTGCAAGCTGAGCTAAGTGATTTGGTACTAGAATTGCAATTATCTAAACAAAAAGCAAAATTGCTAGCATCACGCTTGCAGCAATGGCAATTTCTTTACAAAAAACGAAGGTTACCATGTACAGAACCCAAAATAATTCGCTTTTGCTCTTTTTCTCAAAAACAAATAACATGTGTTTTTGCAATAATGTGTCGGGTTTTTTCGACGCAATGAAACAACCATATGATTGTGATGATTGGCGTCTCTTTATCGACGGCTTAAAATACAGTCTTATCTTCCATACCAATTGCTCATGCGGTAAACGCCAAGGAAAGTTACGAAACGATAAATGAAATTTTGAAACACATTCAATATAAAAAACACCACTGGAAAATTTGTGGCGATCTCAAGGTAGGTAATAAATTTTTTGTTAATAATAATATGTTAAAAATAAATTTTAATTCAGGTAATTGGCTTGTTAACTGGTATGCAGTCCGGCTTCACAAATTACTGCTGTTTTCTTTGTTTGTGGGATAGTCGCGCCACTGATAAACATTACCGACAAAGAGTTTGGCCAATTCGCGATCATTATACACCAGACCAGCGTTTCTGCTACATCCTTAGTTGATCCTAAACGTGTGTTCTTCCACCGTTGCACATTAAGCTCGGCATTTTTAAAAACATTGTAAAGGCACTTGAGCGTGAAGGGCCTGGATTTCAATATCTTATTAAACTGTTCCCCAAAATTTCTTACGCGAAAATCAAAGAAGGAAGTTTTGTCGAACCAGATATAAGAAAATTGATTAATGATGACAACTTCACCAAACGTTTATCTCTACTGAAGCAGCAGCATGGGCCCCATTTAAGAGCGTCGTTTGTAATTTCCTTGGAAACAGAAAAACTAAAGACTACAAGGCAATTGTCGCGGATCTTTTGGACAATTATTTTAAAATGAGGCATGTCGCTTAAAATTTATTTTTTGGATTCCCATCTGGTTTTTTTCCCGGAGAACCAAGGCGATGTTAGAGACGAGCAAGGAGAGCGCTTACATCAAGATTTGCAGAAAATTGAAAAAA